ATCTATCTATCTATCTATCTATCTATCTATCTATCTATCTATCTATCACACTTTATTCACTTTGTATCTCAGCTATAGCCCTCTCCCTTGTCCCCTTCCAATCCCACCCTCCCTTCCTCATCTTCTCCTATGCGCCTCTAATTTTTTTGTGTATGTATGTATGTCTGTGTGCACGAGTGCATGCCTGAGTGTGTGGTATTTGTGTATGTGCAATTGTGTTCAATTACATGTATCTGTGGAGGCAGAGGTTGACCTCAGGGGTCTTTCTCTGTTGCTCCGAGACAAACCCCTGTTGGCGAACTAGGAACTTGCTGTTTTAGGTAGACTAGCTGACCAGCAAGCCCCATGTCTGCCTTTCTCAGTGCTTCCAGCTCCCACTAAAGTCACAGATTGTATGCTGTCTTGTCTGGCTTTTACATGGGTTGTGGGATACAAATTTCAGGTTTTTATGCTTGCATAGAAAGCACTTTTATTCACTGAGTTGTCTCCCCAGCACTCTATTTAATTTGACTGAACAAATATGGCAGGATTATTGATACCACTTAGAGAAAGGAATGTTGAGTTTGTGGCTCTGAGCAGGGACAAATTCATCAAAATCTTGTTCCTAGAAATCTCTTGAGGTCTGGGTGAGAGTCTTTGGGAATTGGGAGGAACAACAGGTTTTCAGGGACAAGGCAGAAGTGCGCAGTGAGCTCTAGAGGCAGTATTAACTGGCAGATGCTGTTGCCATGCTTGGAATGGAGATGGGTGCCCAGCTCCTTACCTGTCTGTACCTGATGTGGAATAGTGATGCCCTGGATACTCTCTGCTTGATAAAAGCAGAGCAGTAATGAAAGGTGCATTGTCCCCAGGATGCATTACACCCTATTTTATGTTCTAGATTATGTTATCTTTGCTTTATGTTTCAAGCTTGTTTTACATTCTAAAGTTTTTTCTAAAACTTATTAAAAAATGGAAAATACTTCAGTAGAACATTTTATCATAATATTCTCACTATCCAGGATCATCACTGAATGTTTATGCTCTCTTGGCTCTGTACACAGATTTTTTTTTTTTTTTTTTTTTTTTTTGGTGGGGTGGAAAAGTTAAGGGAGGTCTCTCTTTGTTGCCCTGGCTAGTGTTGAATACCTGGGCTCAAGTGACTTCCTGCCTTCATCTCATAAACAACTAGGCTTACACTGTGCATTGGCTCACCACCATGCATGACTGCAAGTATAATTTTTGATGCTGACCCAGTTTTTATTGTTGTTGTTCTTGGAGACCGGATTTCTCTGTATAGCCTTGACTAGCCTTGAACTCATAGCAATCTGCCTGCCTCTGCTTCTCTGAGTGATGGGATCCCAGGCGTGTGCCATCAGGCCCAGCTAGTTGATCCAGTATTTTTTGTTGTTGTTGTTTGCCCTTTTACACAGTTAAAGTTCTTGTTGGTATGTAACTGCAGTAAAACTCCTGCAAATGCCGAGTGTAGCTTAGTGGAAAAGCACATTCTTAGTGTGCCCAAGGCATTTATTCAGTCTCCAATACCAGACAACCCTGGTTACTGAATATACTTGAAAACACACGAATCTACAAATGCATGCCCACTCTGAAGAAGGTGTTCTTTCCTTCTGTAGTGGGTTGTGGCCCTAGGGCCACAGGTGTTGTCACAGACAGCTACATGCTCTAGTGAATTTTTAAAAAGACTTATTTGTTTATTTTGGTTTTTTGAGACAGGGTTTCTCTATGTAGCCTTGGCTGTCCTGGTTTCACTTTGTACACCAGGCTCGAACTCAAAGAGATCCGCCTGCCTCTGCCTCCCTGAGTTCCAGGATTACAGACATATGCCAGATTTATTTTTATTTTATGTGTGTGGATGTTTTTGCCTGCATGTGTGTCTGTGTAGCGCATTTGTGCAGTGCCTGTGGAAGCTGGGAGAGAATATTGGATTCTCTGGAACTAGAGTTACAGATGGTTGTTAATTGCCATATTATGTGGGTGCTGGGAACTTGGGTCCTCTGCAGAAGCACCAAGTGTTCTTAACTGCTGAGCCATCTCTCCAGCCCCTGTGACACTTTTTGTTCTCTCTTCCCATCAGGAACATTCTTCCATGGCTTAAGAAGTATGGGACCAATCCCAGCAATGGAGAGGTAGGTGGTCATGCAGAATTCCATGTTACAGGGAGAGCTGTGCTCCTGGCTTTGCTTTTCTCATGTACTCACTCCTGGAGAGCTGCTCACAGGGCCTGGGAGTGACAGCCCTCCACCTTCCAGAAATCTTGCCTCTGTGTACACATGTGCATGTACAGTTGGCCCTCTATTTGCAGGTTCTATGTTCTTGGATTCAATCAACCATGCTCAAAAAAGTATCTGTTGAAAAGTTGTGTCTGAACTGAATATTTATACACTTTTCCATGTCATTTTCCCTAAACAGTATCAGAAAGTAATTATTTATGTAGCATTTAGGTAGCAAGCAATCTAGAGATGGCTTAACATTGATGGATTTTTTTCAAATATTACAGCATTTTATGAGACTGGAATGTTTGTGGATTTTGGTGTCCTGAGCAGTCTTAGTACTAATCTGTCACTGTACGCCGCTATCTATGTCTTTGTTTGCTCAAGACAGATCTTACTGTAGGCCAGGTTGTCTCCTCACTCACAGCAGTCCCACCCAGCCTCCGTGTCTGGCTGGATCACAGTATGTGACTCATCTGTATCTTGCTGTGTGTGCTCTATAAGGTGCCGGGGAGTTTCAAAGGTGTTAGTGCAGAAAGCACAGCCTTTTCTCTGAGACTGTGTCTTTTAAAAAGGATGGTTTATTTTTACATGTTTATTTTGTGTGTGTGTGTGTGTGTGTGTGTGTGTGTGTGTGTGTGTGTGTAAGCCTGCATGTATAGCTGTGCTGGTGTATATGCCATGGCACAGGGTTAGAGGACAGTTTGTGAGATTCAGTTCTCTCCTCCCACCATGTGGGTTCTAGGGATCTAACCAGGTTGGCAGGCTTGGTGACAAGTGACTTTACCTGCTGAGCTGTCTTTAGTCTTGTGTCTATCTGTGACTGAGGTGTACTGAATCTTCTGTCATTTGCCAGTCGCAGCAATAATGTGGGCCCATGCACATTTCTTGAACACACAGGAGTATTATTCTAGGACTACTGAGTCAAAAGTAGGTGCATTGTCAGTTTACACAATTACTGGCCAGCTGCCCTTGAAAATTGTTGTAGTATTTTAAGTTCTTAAGAACAGTGTGCGGGGGAAAAAAAATGCTTCTTGCCTAAGTCCTTGACAATTCTGGGACTCATCAGGGTTGGTTTATTTTCTTTTTTTGGTTTGGTTTGGTTTTTGAGACAGAGTTTCTCTGTGTAGCCGTGGCTGTCCTGGAACTTACTTTATAGAACAGGCCGGCCTTGAACTCAGGAGATCCACCTGCCTCTGCCTCCAGAGTGCTGGATTAAAGATGCGCACCACCACACCTAGCTCAATTTGGTTTTTTGTTTGTTTGTTTGTTTTAAATGGGCAAAAAGAAAAAAGAAAGCTGTATTTATATCAACTAAGCCTCTTCCTGTATGACCTGTATACAGGTCCAATACTGGGACTTTGGAAGAATATTTGCAGATTTAGACTGTAGCTCATTCTCTAGCCACTTTCCACACATTTTAATCAGCCTCTGGTCTTTTGGTCCCTTTGCGACTCCTTTCCTTGTGTGGGCCTTATTTTCCTTCAATTCAGCTGTACCTGTTAAGAAGGCATCAACCTAGTTGGGCACCATGGTGCACACCTGTGATCCCAGCACTTTGGGAGGCAGAGGCAGGTGGATCTCTGTGAATTGGAGGCCATCCTGGTCTACAAAGCGAGTCCAAGACAGCCAGGACTACACAGAGAAACCCTGTTTCAGAAAAACCCAAATAAAACAAAACAAAAAGAAGGCATCAATGTGGCTTGTCCAGGGCCCAGTGTCAAGGGGCAGTTAGGTTAGGTGTGTCACTAAAATGACACAGAGAGGGATGGTGAGGAAAGAGGGAGGATAGATGGGCTGAGGATGTCTCGTAGGAGCTACTCCTATGCTAGTCCTGAGGATAAGAGAGATGATGGTATTTAGATGTCGTATTGGGGAACCTGGAGTTAGTCTGGATAGGTTGGAAGCCCAGACAGAGTCATGATCTGACCTGTGTTGAGGATAGCTCTGGTGTTGTCAGGAAGGTGCTCTAACGAGCCCAGTGGCCCCAGGGAGAGCAGTCAGGAGTTATGCGAGGTGCGGTGTGTGAACTTGGGCCAGGTGGGAGGCAGAGAGAAAGAGCTGTGGAGACTAGACAAGCAAGATGTTTCAGAGTCCTGTCTTTGAGGCACAGTGATGTCTTGGGGACAGGTTCAGTGCAGCAAGAGCCTCCTGAGCAGGTGCCATGGTCCTGATCAACAGTAAGGGCTGGTGGAAACTGGTAAGCAGTCCAGGTTCAGGATCTGAGGCCAGGCCCATTCCACTGCTGGTGACTGACCAAACTTGTTACCTCCTGGAAGAGCCTGTTTTGAAGTAAGGTCCCATCTACAGGTTTCTGGGGGTTATAAAACTTGGGGGAACATTTTTCAACACAGATCTAGGGAACTCTTAATGTAATGTGTTTAGTCTGGTGACTCTGCCGTTCCTGTCAGAGCAGATCATTTTGCTTCCTCCACTTCTCAGCCTGGGATAGGAGCTCTCTTGGTAAGAACCCTGGGCTTGGGGTACAGCTCAGTAATAGAGCACTTGCCTAGCTTGCAGAAAGTCTTGGCTTCCATTTTCTGGCACATCCCTCCCCCAAAATTCCACACACACAAAATCCCGAACAAAACAAAATAAAAGCCTTTAAGACTCCACCTACTAGGTGGCAGGAAGCTGGCCACAGTCTTACTGTCCCTGGTGAGTGTCTGGGCCTGGTGTGGGGTTCCAGATTCTTTCCAGCATGGATGTATGTGTTGCTGCCTGCTTCTTCCACTTGTTGAAGAAAGGGAGCTGTGCTATCCAGAGAGGTCTTAGACTGCTTCCAGAGCCTGTGAGCTCTCTTGAGCTACCTGGGGTAGAAGCAGTTTGCTTTCCTTCTTGGAGTTCCTCACTTGAGAGTGTGACCAATATTTTCTGCTGACAGCCATGGAGCTTCAGCAGCTTTTTCTGAGGCCCCAGCCTGGGAGGACATCTTTTAGGGCTTTCTCGTTATGAGGTCCCTGCTGCCTGCCTGTACTTTGTAGTTGGTTGGTCTCTGCCTTCCTGATCTCTGAGGCTGTGACTGACTAAGGATGTCAACCTGGGGCTCTCCTGCTGCAACCCTGCCCTTTGCTGTCTTATTCTCTGTTGCCACCTCTGATGTCTTAGCTATCCTCATGGGCTCTGTCTCTTTTCTGGTGGACACTATAATTCAGTTACACCTAGGTGCTTTTTATGTTTACACTCTGCATCACAGCTGCTCTTTGGGTATCGAATCTTGTCATTTGGGCTATTTTCGGCAGCTGCCAAACTACATATAGCTCTTACTTTGGTCATGGCCAGAATCTGGGGCCATTTCTTTTTTTATGGAATCCCATAGGGTGTGTTCTATCATAATGCTCCTAGTCTGTGGGCATGTTGTTTTTCTCTTTCCTGCTATACCTAGGTCCTTACTCATGTTAAGCACTGAGCTACATCATCCACTTTCAATGTTTTGTTTCCTTTGAAAAAATATTTGTACCTTAGGATAAGCAGAATGCGTAGGTACTCTCATTAGCTTTATTTGTTACATTTATTTATTTTGTGTATTTGTGTGTGTATAGCACATATGTCAGGGTACAACTTGTGGGAGTTCTCTCCTTCCTCTGTATAGGTCTTGCTGGACATGGAACACATCATGAGGATCAATGACTAGCACCTTTGCCAGCTGAGCCATTTCTCTGGCCCTCCTACTAGTTTTAGAACTACTCATTTTGTTGTTAAGAATATGATGTGGCTATTTGAATGCCATGGTGCAAATGTGGCCAGAGGACAACTCTTAGGAGTTGGTTCTCTCCCTCCACTATGGGTTTTGGGGTTGAGTTCAGGTTTTCAGGCTTGTCTGAAGTGGTAAGCTATCTCAATAGCCCTACACTCATTTTCAATTTCAGAAGTCATGTGTACTTCCCGTAGAAATGTTCAGACAAGAACTGAATATGGAGCTCAGTAGTAGAGCACACACTTGGGATATATAAGGTCCTGGTTTCGGTATGTGGCTCCTCAACATTTAGCCAGTGGTATGTTTACAAATCTGGGGATCTGCTCACAGCTGGCATCTACAGGTACATCAATGTAACTGCTGAGGCTAGCCATTCCTCAGGAGTCCTGGCTGGTCTTGGAGACTTCCCAGAAAGACTTTTGCCTTAGTGTAAGCTCTAGAGGGTGAGTCGGGCAGAGATCTCTCTGTTCTGTCCCTGTTACTCCTGACTCTAGCCTCTGTGTTACTTTACCCTTTACTCATTATTGTTAATTATATGTCTTCCAGAAACTTGATGGGAAGTCCCTGATCAAGCTGAACTTTGCAAAGAACAATGAAGGTGAGAGTCCCTTTTGTAGCCAGCTCTAGAACTGGCCCACAGAGCCCCCATGCTCCTACTCTCACCAACTTCTCTTTCATAATCAGGCTTTCCTTCCTTTTTTCTTGTGGTCAGATGTTGAATAAAGGTCCAAGTAGTTTAGGTTTAGGTGGATCCCACAATGGCAGTTAGGCTGTTATGAGCTGCTGGTGCCATAGTTGGGCTTGTTCCATACCTGGCTGTGGCTGTGGCCTGTTCATGGCCATAGGTGGAAGTTGCTCAGCCCAGGGCCCAGTGCGGCCAGCCCAGCTGTGGTTGTGTGTCTTTGGGAGGCATTTCCAGTCTGTTCTTCATTATCATTGCTGTCCTTCATTGCTGCTCCTTCAGACCTCTGCCCCACTTGGAGCCTCCTGCTCCAAGTCTCCAACCCTCTTGTTGCCTATCCAGATAATGTAGCTACAGTTCCAGCTTCCCTTTTCCTGTCTTGGGTCTGATCTTGTGCAAGTTCTTTGTGGTCTTGGCTAAGGGGTCTCCTTTCACGCTGGTATGGGAACCGTGGGTGAGCTTGCTGTCAGTGTTCACTGGGCATTTTCCAGGGAAATGTTGCAAGCAAAGGTAAGGCAGGTATCTCTCTTCATTGACCTACAGCAGCCTTGGGTTCATAGGCCGTGTGTCTTATGTTGAGCAGATCTTCCTGCAGTGTCTGCCTGTGGATCTGTAGAGAATAAGCAGGTGGGGATGAGGTGTGTGCAGGTGTGCGTCCGTGCATATGTGTGTGGGTGTGTGGCCTTGAGTGAGAAGAGCTTTTGTTGGGAGGGGAGGAATCTAGGCAGGAAATATCCTCTCTGTTGTAGACAAGTAGAGGAAGGAAAAGGGCCAATAGGACACCCATTGAGGGCCGCAGACAGGATCTGAGAGAAAACATGGTGAGAGGGAGCTGCATGAAGATCTGGGAAGAATATTCTAGGCAGAAGGTACCGGCAGAGCAAATGCAGACATATGCTCGAGGGTGTCCATGCATGCCAAGAGTCTAATACTGTTGAATCCATGTGAGCAAGGGGTAGAGTCTGGGCATTTGGGAGAAAGAGGCAGGTGGATCTCTGTGTTCAAGGCCAGTCTGGTCTACAGAGCGAGTTCTAGGACAGCCAAGGCTACACAGAGAAACAACAAACCCAGAAAACAAAAACAACAGAAAAAATAATGACTTATATCTTCAGAATAGCATTGTGACACTTAAAAATAAATGAATGGGAGTTCCCTGGTCACATCAAATAACTAGTGGTTAAGTAGTTAAATTTCCATAAGATGTGTGTGAGAGATTTTTTTATTTTGAAACTGAGGTGTTTTTTTTTTTAAATTTTGTTTTGTTTTTTGTTTAGGTTTTTTTTTTTGTTTTGTTTTGTTTTGTTTTGTTTTCTCTGTGTAGCCTTGGCTGTCCTAGACTCATTTTGTAGACCAGACTGGCCTCAACCTCACAGAGATATGCTTGTCTCTGCCTCCTTGAGTTCTGGCATTAAAGGCGTGTGCCATCATGCCTGGCTGAAACTGAGATTTTTATAAATATTTCCAAATGCATGTAGGTGACATGTCTATTTGCCCTCCCCCTGTTTGTCTATTGGGACTCACTAAACAAGACCCTTGCTGGATGTGAGATCATCTATTGAGGCAGGAATATGCGTATGCTAGCTGGCTGGCATTTGCCATAGAAAACTAGGTGAGGAGGGCCAGGGTAGTGGTGGGTACTGTGGATTATGAGAGGTAGAAAGCAGTTGTGACAGGTTTCTAGAAAGATAAGCCACATCCTATATGGCATGGCTTTAAGGGGAGAAGGTGGTCACCTAAGCCAGTCTGGAGGCTATCAGACTATTGTGAGTAAGGCAAAACAAGGGTTTGGTCTCGTAGAATAGCATAGGAATGGAGCATGAATGGCTGCCATCCCTGTGGTTTCCAGGTCTGCTCTAAGGTTCTGCCTTCTTCCTTTTATGACCCCTACTGGTTGCTCCCTCTTTCCCTTTCTCCCTTTGCTCCCTCTCTCCTTTTCTTGTCACACTGATTCTCAGAATCAAGAGTGCAGAATTAGCACATGCTAGGCAAATGCACTGCCACTGAGACTCCTTTTAAATTTCACCTTGAGACAATGTGCAGTTAAATTGTCCAGTGGCCTTGTGCTCTGTTCTTCTGCCTCAGCTTCCTGGTAGCTGGAGTTATAGATATGTGCTATTATGATAGTTTAATTAAAGCTCTTGAGGGCTACTAGCACTGTGTGTGCTTTCTCTAGGGCAGTATCACTGTCCAGTGCTGTATTCCGTGTTCACTGACAACACCCATATTGTGGCCATCAGGACAACTGGCAATGTCTACACCTATGAGGTAGATCCCCATTTCTGTGAGTGCTACTGTCTAATGTTGGGCCCTTGAGTGTGCTTTGGGAGTATTCCAACAGCCTGGCTGAGTGCTGGAGGTGAACCAGGAACAGTGAGCATGCCTGTCCTCATGGGCTTTATAGCCTCCAGCACAAGACATCACCTCTGGCTAGGTAGCCCTCCTACTTTATGAGGGTTTAAAATAAAGACCAAGTGACCTGAAACCTAGACAGGCAGGTCGGGCCGCCTAAGCACGGTTCCTTGTATCCCAGGAACACGCCTTCTCCATGTCTTCAGCATGGACCAACTCTGGAAGGAACGTGCGAGTAAAGGGAGATGGGAGGACACTAGGTTCTTAAGAGGGAGGAGGTTCAGGTTGGTGGGAGGGACAGGAGCTGTCTCCCTTCTCTACTCCATCTAGGACAGGGTGCAGGAGAGCCCATGCTGGACCTCTTGCTTAAAGCAGCCTGGTTGGTTTGGCTAGTCTCTGCCAGGAAGATGAGAACACCCCCAGGGCGGCTCTATGTGTGCTTGTTTACCTCTGACCTCCCTGCTGGAGCTTAGAAGGGGCCTCCATATCTCTGTCCTGCAATAGGCAGTGGAGCAGCTAAACATCAAGGCCAAGAACCTGAGGGACCTGCTAACTGATGAGCCCTTTTCCAGGCAAGACATCATCACCCTACAGGTAAGTAGCTTCACAGGGACTGCCTCCCCTTAACCCTCAGCTCCACCGTCTTCCTCCCAGCTTTCCTCAGGCTTGATGGCCTTCTACACTGTAACATCCCTGGTTGCTGCTCCCCAATTATTCTTTAGTGCCACACCCCTTTCCAGCAGCCACCATGGACCTTGGCTGCCTTCTGGTTCTGATGGCTCCTGTATCAAGGATCCTATATCTGCCCCACAACCATTTTAGGCATCAGGACACTTAGGCTGCTCTGCAGGTCCCACCCCACTGCTTCAAGAGCAGCATCTGGCACCTTTGTCTCCATGGTAGTGGGTGAACGGTGAAAACTGTCAGAAAACGGGGGTTGGTCAGGACAGGCTTAAAGGACTCTGTGTGTTACTCCCATCTGATTGAAGCTTGGTCCCATGGCTGCCCAATCCATATCCTTTGCTACCTGGCAGTGAGCCTTGCTTCTTGTTTTTGTGCCCTGTAGGCAGGGCAGACTGCTTGGTGAGCAGCTAGGCAGGCTGTGCTCTGGACCCATACCACCTCTGATTGTCACAGTGTCAGGCACAGCCTCCTTCTCTGCTCAACTCCCTAGTTCTCACTTGGCTCAGCTGCAGCCTCTTCCCCTGAAGGTGCCTGAACAGATGCTTGACACAGCCCTGGCTGTACTGCTGAGTGTTTCTTCTTGTCATAGGACCCCACCAATTTGGACAAATTCAATGTTTCCAGTTTCTTTCATGTGAAGAATAATATGAAAATAATTGATCCAGGTATGAACAACTAAGGCTGCTGTGAGTAGAGTATAGGTATGCTGCTCGGGCAAGTGCTTCCTTCTTAGGGGTGGGGATGTGTGGAGACCCAGACACTGTGGCTCTAGATTGGGCTTTTGATTGGGCTGGAGAGATGGCTCAGAGGTTAAGGGCACTGGCTGTTCTTCCACAGGTCCTGGATTCAATTCCCAGCAACCACAACCATCCATAATGAGATTTGGTGCCCACTTCTGGCACGTAGGCATACATGCAAGCATTACACGGTGTAAATAATTAGCTTTTAAAAATCTTTTTTAAAAAGGCTTCAGATTTCTTTATTTGGTGAAGCCCAGGCTGTCCTGAAATATGCTGTATAGACCAGGCTGGCCTCAAATTTGCAGCGTTCCTCCTACCTTTGCCTTCCAAGTGCTGGGATTATAGGCATGCACCACCATGTCTGTCAGATGGTTAGAGAAGCAGCTGACTGTAGTCTTGGAAACACTAAGACACCTCTCTTTCCCTTAGCTCTGGTGGCCCTGTGCTTTCTGGATTCCTGCTGGCTACTGCTCCTTTCAGGGCACAGTGATAGGGGACTGCAGTGAGGCTCTGCGTGCTATCAGACCTGTGTGGGTGCAGACTGGGCCCTTGGTCCTCCTGCTTTCTGTGTTTGGCCCATACTGTTCAGCACACTATAACATACTATATAGTGGCTGGAGTTTCTGTTTTTCTTTTCTTTTGGTTTTTCGAGACAGAGTTTCTCTGTGTAGCCCTGGCTGTCCTGGACTTGCTGTCTAGATCAGGCTGGCCTTGAACTCACAGAGACCGCCTGCCTCTGCCACCCTAGTGCTGGGATTAAAGGTGTGTGCCTCCAGGCTCTACTATGGCTGAAGTTTCTGAGCTCTCTTGTTCTATACCAAGGGGCCAGCTAGACTTATGCCTAGAGTTTAGTTGGCTCCATCTCAGCAGGAAGCAGTACTCCTGAGTCAGTGTTCATTAACACTGTGGACCAGTCAGGATTTAGAGAGGTAGAACACATAACTAACTCGGGATAACAGCTCAGGAGACCCAGAGGCCAGGCCTAGGGATGCTCACTGCCCAGTAAGTTATAGTCTTTGGCCTAGCAAACAACATGTGGCATAGATAGGACATTTCATATATGAAATACCAAACTCTGCCTTCCCTTGAAATAAACACGTTTAAAATCACAAAAGCAAAACATCATTGTGAAAAGATTGTAGCATATAGGTAAAGAGCAGGGTGACACTTTTAAGTTCAGACCATCCCAAGACTCTCTTGACTGTATGAAGGATATCCCCTCCAGGGCTGGGACCATGATGTTGTGTTCTGTGTGCTCCCTACCTTGCTGCACCTACTAAAGCTGCTGCCAGATGACCAAAGGTATTAAGTCTGGCTGTACTATGATGGCCAGAGAACCCTGCCCTCATCAACCCACCTGTGGCTTCTCATGTGGCCAACTCCATCTCTATTCCTGTTAGCTCATCTGGATCTTGAGACTCTTTGGGGCCTTGGCTATCTGAGGTTTTGGCTGCTCAGTACCTGTATACTGTTTTGTAGATGAAGAAAAGGCCAGACAAGACCCATCTTATTATTTGAAAAATACAAATGCTGAAACCAGAGAGACATTACAGGAGCTCTACAAAGAGTTCAAAGGAGATGAGATTTTAGCAGCCACCATGAAGGCCCCTGAGAAGAAGAAGGTGGACCAACTGAATGCTGTGAGTGGGTTGCTCTGGCGCTGGGGAAGGTGCTGACAGGGTCTGGGATGCATCTGGAAGTATGATGGCTGGGACCCTCCCAGTACTGTGGGGCTCTCCAGGGCTGACGTGGTTGGGCTCCAAACAAATAAAAAAGGAGTCGCATACTCTTGGGGCAGAGGAATGGTTGAGAAGCTGGGGTCTGTGGGAACAGTGGCTCAGCAGAAGCAGGGCTGTCTTGTGCTATGGGCCCTGACCCAGGCCAAGCTACCTGCTGTCTTTGGTATTCCATTTCAAGACAGAAACAGAAGGGCTTGCAGGTCTGTGATGGAAGGGAGGGCTGCGGTTGCTAGGGTTACCAAGGCCTCAGACCTTGCCTGGGCCTTTCCTTGGGCAAGCCTGCTTGTCTGCCCTAGGTCCTATCTACAGCTGTGATGCTAGAGTTCAGCACATTTAGCCGATAGGCGGTGTCTTTCTCCTATTTAGGCTGAGTCTGGAGACTCAGCCTAAATAGCTATGGGAAGGCAGAGGTGGGGTCTCCCACATAGGGAGTTACCCAGGAAAATTTGGAAACTAAAGTTCATCGTTTATAATTTCCCTATCTGAACACAGCCATTGTATTCTGGGTATTACTGTCTTGTTTAACAGTCCTCTTGGGTTTTTTTTTTTTTTTTTCCTTCCCCCTACATGATGACAAAATAATTTATTCCCTTTACCATTAAAGAGATTGTGTTTACTGTAAACTGTATGTAACCTGGGCTAGAGAGATGGATCAGTGGTTCAGAACTCTTGTCCTTATGGAGAATCCAGGCATGTTTCCCAGGGGATCTGACTCCCTCTTCTGACCTTTGAGGGCACCAAACATGCACATGGGGTATAGATGTACATGCAAGCAGAACACCCATACACGATCATTTTTTTGGTTTTCAAGACAGGGTTTCTCTGTGTAACCCTGCCTCTCCTAGAACTTGCTTTGTAGACCAGACTGGCCTTGAACTCACATAGATTGACCTGCTTCTGCCTCTCAAGTGCTGAGACTAAGGTGCATGCCACTATGCTTGTTGGCATAATCATTTTTAGGAAGAAAGAAAAAAAGGCTGGGGTTGGTGGTACACACTTTTAGACCCAGCACTCAGAAGGTAGAGGAAAGCAGATCTCTGAGTTGAAGGAGAACCTGGTCTACAAAGTGAGTTCCAGGACAGCTAGGGCTACATAGAAACTCTTATCTCAAACAAAAACAAATAAGAACCCTTCAGAAATAAACTTATAACTGCCTTTGTATTCTTATCCTGGAAGAAGGCTACCCCTGTGAGATAGTTCTGTCTTGACTTAATATTGTTAGTTGCAACCTGTTTGAGGCCTTGCGCCCTAATTCCCTCAACTAGGCCTTCAGTTGTTCCTCTTGGAACCAGAAATCTGGTCTTTTGGTCTTGGCCACTTCTCCATCTATGCCTGTGGGTGGTGGTGAAGAAGGCTGCCCTTGAGAGGTCATGATAGGGTGTGAGCTCATGGTTTTCTTGCAGGCCCACTACTCCACAGGGAAGGTCAGCGCATCCTTCACCTCTACTGCCATGGTACCTGAGACCACACATGAAGCAGGTAGCTGCCTCTACCTCCTCTGTTCACTGGGACAAAATTCACATGGGTAACAAGTGGGGCTTTCTGTGTACTTGCCTCAGCATCCCCACTGTGCTTTTACTTAGAGTCTCTGGTGGTCAGTGGTTATAGTGGGGTGGGTCTTCTTGGTAGATGGTCTATGTGTTGAGTCAGTCAGGAGGCTGTGAGTGAAAGGCATTCTCACCATGTAGTCTTATCTTTTATTGTTTGTTTGTTTTGTTTTTTGTTTGTTTTTCAAGACAGGGTTTCTCTGTGTACCCCTGGTTGTCCTGGACTCCCTTTGTGCCAGGCTGGCCTTAAACTCACAGAGATCTACCTGCCTCTGCCTCCCAAGGCATGTGCCACCATGCCCAGCTCTTGTCCCTTGACTTGAAGTGCTCTGCACTCAGGCCCCTAGAGCCTCTAGCATTAGATTGTTCTTGATATGACTTCCCTTAGCCTCTGGCTCCTTCACTTTTCTCAGAGCTAGTGCACATTGGTGCTTGTCTTGTGGCAGGCCATGGGGCCTGCATGGAGGAGCTATCTCAGGTACAGGACAAGTTACAGAGTTTGGACTTGTTTGCAGCTGTCATTGATGAAGATGTACTACGCTACCAGTTTGTGAAGAAGAAGGGCTATGTGAGGCTACACACCAACAAGGGTGACCTTAACCTAGAGCTGCACTGTGACCTGGTGAGTATGGTGGCTGTTCCTGGGTAGTTTCTGGGGCCATTAGGTGGTCATGCCTTAAATGTGGAGCTATAGTTAACTTTTATGAAGTCTTGCCTAACTCCAACCGAGAACCAAAGTGCCCTTTCTTCCTTCCCTGGAGTGCCATTAACCACACAACACACCTCCTTGGCTGCTTGGTAGGTGTTTGTGCAAATCCTTGGAAAGGGATTTGCTTGGCTCCCTCTCTGTTCTATCATATGGCTACAGGAGTCTTGCTTAACTTTTGGAGGTCAGACTGAACCAAGGTCTACAGACAGGTAGTTTCCTGCTATGATGAAGGCCTGCATGTCTCGTGACTCTGCTATTGACCACTGTGCCTCATAGAGTGCTGGGATGTTTTGCAGACACCAAAAACCTGTGAAAACTTCATCAGGCTCTGCAAGAAACAGTATTACGACGGTACCATCTTTCACAGGTCCATCAGGAACTTTGTGGTGAGTGGTACAAGCTGGTGCTAGCTGTAGATGCTTGATGACATGGGCATCATCCAGGAGACAAATGGGCTTATACCTGCCCTGTTCCAGGCACCTTGTTCAGACTGTATGGCCAGGGCAGGGTCCTTAGGTGTGTCTTGTGCTGGCTCTTGAGACCTGAGGTCAGAGAGGTCCCTGTGCTCCCTGAAGGACATGCCTTTGGGAAGCCTGCGCTCAGTTAGTGGGCAGGGTGAGCAGTGGGTGACAGGCACCATCAGAGCCAGTGACCTCACTGGGTTTTGTTTTTTGCAGATCCAGGGTGGTGACCCCACAGGTACAGGCACAGGTAGGTGCTGGTACCAGGCCTGTTTCATTGGAATAATGCAAGGGGCTGTTCTGTGGGGCCTAGTAGGGTGCCGGGTTTGAAGAGCTCTGATGTAGAATCTTTCAGAGTTGGAGGTGTGGGGGTGGCTTGCAACTCAGCGGTTGGCCTTCTGAGCCACCTTGGGCGTTCCTCTTAGTTTTCCCAAAGTGAGGTTAATTTTCTCTTTCCTAAGCCTCGGGATCATACCAAGGTTGCTTTAACCCTTCAGCCCCTGACCCACAGGGGTGAGTAAGCAGTCTCAGCTTGTATGAAGGCTTTGGGATCTAGGAGTCATCAAGGAGGCTACCTCAAGGCCAAGACTCCCTGATGCCTCTGGACTAGGTTCTGGGGCTGACTGCGGCCATGCTCCTTTCTGTCCCAGGTGGCGAGTCATACTGGGGCAAGCCTTTCAAGGATGAGTTCCGTCCCAACCTTTCGCACACTGGCCGAGGGGTGCTCAGCATGGCCAATTCGGGGCCCAACACCAACAAGTCTCAATTGTGAGTCCAAGTGCAGTTATTTTTGCTCAGCTGCTGAGGGTGGTCTTCTCCCTACGAGTTGTGCTAGGCCAGGTCAGACCAGACACGGTACTACACACTCAGACTAAACATGGGTCCCTGCAGTGAAGGAGGCCAAGTCAGCTGCTGGAGTAGCGTGCCGAGCTGTGGGTGGTACTTATGGGCAGGTCCTCAAAGGCCTCTTAGGATAGGTCAGGCAGAACTAGGAATATGTACCACATACCTGTGAGGTGGAGGCAATAAACAGCTCTGTCATCCTTGTTTCCATAGTGAGTTTGAGACTAGCAAGGTCAAATGAGTTTTTGTTTCAGTAGCAGGAACAAAAACTATGAGTTCAGCCAGTAAGAAGGGTTAGGCTAGGTATGCACAGGTGCAGGCTTTATGTCTTTGGGATATGCCTGTTGGCCTCAGGAATGGCCCTACTTGCTTGTTGGGTGATGTTCATTGCAGCTTGCAGAGTCAGTCTTCTGTGGCTAAGAGGTGTGGGCTGTCAAGATGAGGCTGCTGTCCTGTTGTCCCAGTAGGACTGTGTCCTGCTACTCTGGGTAGGAACCTCGTACTTCCTGCACTGCAATCACATCCACTTCCTGCCTTCCACTTTATTTAGAGATCTGTGTAGCTCAGGCTTCTGTGCTGTGATTGCAGGTGTGAGTTCCCATAGCCACCTTGTGCTTTCCTCCTGTATACTGTCTGTAGTCTGGAGCTTCTAAATAGAGTTTCTAATAATTTGGGCTGTTTCACTTCACCTTGGAGGCCTGATTCAGTCCTCTGCCCTTGGCAGGGCTCATGATGGGGTTGTGCCTCTCAATCCATTGCCTTCCTCCAAATAGCCAGGCTCAAGCCTCTAGCCTCTCCTGCTTGGCTTCCATGGAAAGTTGCCAGGTAAACTCTGGGCTTTCTCCAGGGAGCCAGAGGTCTGGATTTACCTGTGTGGCCTTAGCTGAGACAGGCAATGGGAAGGAGCACACAAGGTAAAAGGAAGCTGCCAGATGGGAAAGGGCAGACAGCTTCTGTTGAGCTGTGAGTACTGGGACTAGAGAACACTGGGTGGGGCGGCTTGCTGTTTCCCTGATCTCATGTACTTGCCCCTAGCTTTATCACGTTCCGCTCCTGTGCTTATCTGGATAAGAAGCATACCATCTTTGGACGGTAAGCATAGATGCTGTACATGTTTGTGGTGCAAATGTGGGCCTTCACTGCTTTTCCCCAGACTTGACTGGCTATCTCCCTCATACTAGTCCTGCTTCGATGACTTAGGGTATGTTTATAGGGGGAAGGTTGGCTCTCCGGGCCTGTGGGGCCAAGGAGAGGAGACATACCCAGGCAGCTCTAGCTCATATTTCTTCTCAAGGTACCTTCTTGGAAGTCTAAACCACACTGCTCTTTCTCCTCATCCCCAGGTCTGATGCAGAAAGGCCTAGATAGTATTTTTGCTTGGTGGATCACACAGTCTGTACTGATAATTCAGTTGTAGGGGGAAAAAGAGCTTGGTACAGTGATACTCCCAGCACTTGAGAGTTGGAAGCCCAAGGATTATTAGTGCTTGGCCTGTTTCAGTTACTTAGTGAGTTTGAGGCCAACCTGGGTTAGTAAGATCCTGCCTCAGCAAACTGGGGGAAACAAAGTGTGGAAACAAGGATTGTGATTTCACCAAAGTAACACTTTAGTCACCAAACCTGGCTGGGTATGGTTTGCTGCTCCCTTCTCTGCTGTGGCTCATCCTGTCCTGCCTAGTCTGACTCTCTGAGGCAATATGCACTGTCTGTCAGTCCTCTTTGTGGTTCCTCTTGACTTTGCCATGATGGTACTCTGCTCAGGGAACACAAAGCCCCAGCCCTGTTCTCTGCTTCAGGGTGGTTGGAGGTTTTGACACATTGACAGCTATGGAGAATGTGGAGAGTGACCCCAAAACTGACCGTCCCAAGGTATGTACCTAGGGAGAACAGAGCTCCACTGCCTGTTGGGTGCTGGTTGGGGGAGACTGCTGCCTTCTCACGGAGCCTTTCTGTCACCAGGAGGAAGTGCGTATATGTGCGACCACAGTGTTTGTGGACCCGTACGAGGAGGCCGATGCCCAGGTGAGGAAGGTGCAAGATTGGCCCTGGGGAGGGTGCCAAGCAAGTCATGTCCTTATTGTTTGGGAGCAGGAGGGCACATTCTGAGGCTCCGGATCAGCCACCGCCCTCCCTTCTAGCTGGGGTGAGAAGACCCCCCTGGGGCTCTGTAATCAGACAATTTTGCTACCTCCCAGATTGCCCAGGAACGGAAGAAGGCACAGCACCAAGTAGATCCAGAGGCCAAGGTCAAGATGAGCCAGCCCCAGCCTAGGAACCAGGGCCCCCAGACATACCGCCAGGGGGTGGGCAAGTACATCAACCCAGCAGCCACGTGAGTGTGATGGATGGGTGACATCTCCTGTATCCGTCTAGAAGCTGGGACCTCTCTTCATGGTGCTCCTAGGGGGTGACCCAAGCGATGGCAAAAGCATCACAGACCAGACTGGAGACTACAGCTAAGGGGTCCTGCCTTATGAGAGGGTCTAGACAAGATCCCTCTGCAGGGCCAAGGATGTTTTCATAGTTGGAACTGTGGGAGCAGATCTTTGTAGAGACAGTGCTTCTGAAGGGAAGGCTATCTGTGTATAGCGTTTCCTCAAGCAACTCAAGAGCATAGGCTCCCGGCTCTTTTGTGGCAACTGCAATATTTTTCTTCATGTCTCAGGAAACGAGCAGCAGAGGAAGAACCGTCAACCAGCACAGCTATCCCCATGGCCAAGAAAAAGCCCAGCCGGGGCTTTGGGGATTTCAGCTCCTGGTAGCAGCAGGCTGGCCTCATGGATCCTGGTAGGGATGCTGGGCTGTGGGCTTCCAGGTCTGCCTTTGAGCTTTCTGCCCTTGTGGTTAGTTTGGGCTATGAACCAATAAACCTCTTGCCAGTTTTGGCCCCTAGGACCCTTAGTGTCGCCATCCTCATCTGTTGCCAATGGTCTGGGATTAGTGAGGAAGGCTGTGTTCTACCCTCCCCACATGCCTCTGCCTCAGGATGGCTGCGTATCAACTCAGCACTGTTCCTCAGCCAGTGCCACCACCTATGTATCCTGTTAAAAATGCAGATTCTTAAGAGGCCCCTATAATTGCAGCATTCAGAATACCAAGGCAGGAGGATTGAGTGTTCAAGGCCAACCTGGGCTATCTAGAGAGACTGTCTCAAAAGAACTTTAGATGTGGAGATTGAAATTGGTTCTCAGACCCTAGTCTGGATCCTGAACAGGAGCTTCTACTCCCAGGCTACTTTGACAGGGTCCCATGGGGCTTTATTACCTTGACACCACTTCCATAAAGCATGCTTGGGACAGGCATGTGTGTCCTGTCTACTTGGCTGCCTGCCTTTCTGCATTAACCACGATGATGACCTGGTGAGCCCAGTTAGTCAGTAGCTTGTGCTGTGATGACAGCCAAAGGTCCTTTATAAAAAGGTGGCCTCCCAGCTGGGCAGCAGAGGCAGGCAGATATCTGTGAGTTTGAAGCCGGCCTGGTCTACAGAGTGAGTTAAGGACAGCCAAGTCTACACTACCCCTCAAAAAACAAAAACAAAAACAAAAACAAACAAAAAAGTGGCCCCAGTTACCAACTCCTTGTTTTGTGTTTTCAAACAGTCTGTCTTAGAAGTCACTGTGTAAGACCAAGCTGGCCCTGAACTCAGAGTCACCTGCCTCTGTCTATTCCTAAGTGCTAGGATTAAAGGTGTGCGCCATCCTGCCTGGCTCACCACTGCTTTTGATTCCAGGACAGCTGTCTCCTGGAAAGGATTCACTGGCTGTTGTGTGTCCAAACAGCTTACAGCCACCTGTTCTTCATTGCTTTCTTTGCCTTCCATCCTGAGCCCTCCCCAGTTGTTTCTTCAGAAGTGTGGGCAGATCCCCCCTCTGGAGGCAGTGTCATGTTGCTAACCACTCCTTAGAGTATGACCCATTAAATTGTAACTTAGGCTTGACTCTTGTTTTTTTCTTACCCCAAACCTGAATCCACCAAATCTCAAAAGTTCTTGGTTCTGGAATGTAGCCTGGTACTTTTCCATTTTTGATGTTAAAACCACAGGCCTGTTGTATTTCTGGGAGAGACTCTTGCCTCACTACCCTGTCTTTTCCCCTCCATTTCCAGTTGCTCCTACATGCACTTAGGGTCTGACTGCTGGTCATCCCTGACTGTTCCCTGAGGCCAGGAGAAAGTCTGTTCCTTGCTCACAGGCCAGCTACACTTCTCCAGCCCAACCCACTGCCTGGGGTGTCAGCTCAGGCCCTGGACTGTATTGCCGTTCCACCCTGCCTTCCTCTAGCCCTTTGGCTCCTCTGTTGATTCCTCTGGGTATAGGGAAGTGATACCTCACAGGTCACAAAGTGGGGCCAGATGCAGTGACACGCCTGTAGTCCTGGTTGGTAAGTGGAGGCAGGAGGATCACTGCACATTGTGGGTCGGTCAAGGCCACATGTCAAGATCCTGTTCCCTAAAATTAAAGAGGCAGGTGGTAAGACCTTATTTCAAAAAAGGCAAAAAAAAAACCAAACCAAAACAACAACAACAAAAAAACCCAGAGCTATAGAGTTGAGGTTCTCTGGGCAGACAGAGGCAATGATTGCCTAATTATCTTCTTACACTTTTCTCAGGCCACACTTAAAGCATCGGGACCCCAGAACCCCTAGGTCCTCAAGGGGCTCTGAAACCCTGACACATCCTTTGTTCCCAGTGGATGCTGCAAGAAGCTGTGGGCCATTTTCCATGGTACCATCTCTGAGACAGCAAGCACTGGAGAAACCTTGCTGTTTGACAACAGAAGCTTTATTTTTATATCTCACACAGACGTGCCACCAAGGCTGATGGCTCTGGCCTAGGGGACAGGGAGGCCGAGGGTACTTTGTATGCTTGAGCTTGGTGGTCCTGCTACTCGTGGTGAATTCCCTGTAGCTTCCAAGTCACTCTGTCCAGTCAGCCTTGCTCAGCAGCCTACACTTGTCCTCTTCACTCTTGTCCTCCAGCACAGAGGACAGGCCACCAGGGCTTATTTCCATAGGTTGTCTAGAGCTTAAACAGTAGCTTTTTAGACAGTAAAACTGGGTTTTGAAAAGTGCCTGATGAGCTCATCAGAAAATAAAGGACTTTTTTGAGGGGGGAAAAGTCTCATTTCTGATCTTTTCAAATACCTGACAGATGCCATCAAGAATAAGCATTAAGGTATAAAAATACTGTGTATATACTAACAAGATGGCAACAAAATAAACCACATTTCTAAAGTAAAGTGGCATTTATGACCTGGTATAACTCCCACTGTTCTGAAAAAAACATTTCTAAGATAGCTACAGAATGATACTGTTTAGAAACATAAGGTGAGCCAGTTTGACAGGTCACCAGAACACTGGTTGTGGTGTTGTGTCACTTTCCCCTGAAGCCAGCTCATGGTCAGTTCTTTTGGTTTAAAAAGTTTCTATCTCACAGAAGGCCAACACAAAATCTAAAAAAACTTCATAAAAGTTTTGTTGGTATCCATTACCCCCAATACAAAATAAGTCAAAGAGTACTAGCAAAAAGTTTCCAATCAGTGCTATCACAAAAGACAGTGCAAAGTGCTCAAGTAGAAGGGCAGGAAGCCCAGAACATAAAAAAAAAAAAAAAAAAAAAAAAAAAAAAAAAAAAAAAAAAAAAAAAGCTGTAAATATAATCTTAGTATATACAAAAACTGGTCAGAAGAATTCTCAAAGATTGTTCAATTGAAGTGAAGCATCTATAGGGACCTACTCAGGATGCCCTTGAGTTTCCTCCCGCTGTTGATATCTGGTCTCCTGTGCCTCAGCCACAAAGTTCCCACTTGTAAGGGTATTAAAAACTAGCCAGGGTGTTGTGTCCACTTGGAGCTGTAGACTAGTGTGCATTCCTAGATAAGGATGGCCTTTGGGCCCCTAGGCTTCATACACACCCACTACCTGTGCTGAGTTTCAGCAGTTACCTTACTGGGTGGAATTACCTTGTTCTGGGCCAGCTTTATTTTGGAGGGAACCGAGTAGTAGTTGGGGAGAGAGCAGCTTAGGCTAGGACTAGGCAGAGAGATTCACAGACCATGCAAACATGTCTTCAGTTGCCCAGGCATTTCTTATATTACCAGGCTTCCAGTCTTGGGCAAAGAAATGGCACCAAAATGTAGGCTTTGGAGTGAGTAGTGAGCTGGAGTAGACAAATGAAGTGTCTGTGCTGGCCAGAGGACCTGGGTTTAGAAGGTTTGGGGCTTTTAGGCTAACCACACCTCAGGCAGCGCTAGAGCAAACTGTGGCTGAGCACTCTCCTGGCATGTTGCTTTGCCCTGGGTCAGGTGCAAAAAAATTGAAACTTATCTGGGAATGGTTCTGGCCTCCATCTTCTGCAAACTGGTCACTCCTGTGGATGTATGGGGGATGATGGGTTGTGACCTAAAATCTGAGAGATCCAGGGCTTTTGGGAAGCCCAGACCCTTCCCTCTCAGGTCATGAGGTGACTCCAGGCAGGAAAGGTAGCTCCCACAGTATGCTAAGTCTTCCTTTATCAGGAGAAAAGAAAAAAAAAAATCTCAAGTTTTGAAGTTCTCCCTGCTGGTTCCGGCCTCTATGCATAACTACTTCAAGTACATCCAGGGTAAAAATGAAGCCCAGCCTACTGCTCTATGACAGGGACCAGCCCTACATACGAGCTGCTGCAGCACTGAGGGAGTCAGGAGCAGGCTGCGGTAGGCCTGGGCCAGCACACTCAGCCACTAGTGAAATAAGATGTGCATTGAATGTTTTCTTCTGTAGCTTCTCTAACATATCAGCAGTGGCTGGTTTCAACTTTTGAAGCATCATGCTTTGCACTTAAATCTGTTGGCTACTTCTGGTCACTATGCCAATGCTTGTGAAGGAGACCCTGCTTCTGTGCTTTTAGGGACTTGGCTTTGGTGAAGACACAGCCAGACTACGTCGAAGGCGTAGGGGAAAAGAAGGTATTAACTAGGCAGGTGAGTCATCACTTGGTTAATTCTTTCTCTAGAACTTAAGTTAGAAAAAGAATGCAGACTTCCAGAAACACCAGTGTACATGAAGGGGACTCAGATGGGGGCACCAAGAGAGAGGCCTTCAAGTGTTCAGACTGGGCTGGCCTGTGGGGTTAGGTTCAACAGGTATTGTCATCAAGCAGCTAGGTCTTCATCACACTCGGCTTTCACGGCAGAGTGTGCTGCTTCACTTTACTCCCAGCCGTTGTCTTTGATCATGTGGGCAAGTTCAATGATAAATTTTCCTTCCTTGTATTTCTGGCTGCTCTCAAAGGCGTGTTCCTTGTGGGGGAAAGTAGAGAGGTTTTAGGATACACTTTTATTTTCCTGCTTTACTTTCCTCTTGGTCAACAGTGAAATTAGTGGCATTATTTCCACCCAGACCCATGTGTCAGTGCAGGATGATTTTTTTTTTTTTTTCTTTTTGGTTTGGTTTTTGGAGACAGTGTTTCTCTGTGTAACCTTGCCTATCCTGGGCTCACTTTATATACCAGGCTGGCCCCGAACTCACAGAGATCTGTTTGCTTCTGCCTCCCCGAGTGCTGGGATTACAGGTGTGTGCCACCATGCCCGGCAGAGTCGCCTTGAACGGTTCATTACATTTACGAGGCATGTTAACTGTTCTGTTTCTGGCGCTGGGGAAGTAGCCTAGTGTGTGGCGTTTAGTGTGCCTGTGCCTCTGCATGTGGATGTTTCGGGAGGTCTGAAGGACAGTGATGGAACAGTCAGTGGCACACAGATGAGGCTGGGCTATACATTCCTGTTGTGTGCAGGCCAGTGTTGGAGAGGAGTGTTTTGATTGCCCTACGCTTTGAAAGTTTTATTATTATTATTAGGGAGGGGGCAGACTTGTGCACATGTGGAGGTCAGAGGACAGCATTTTGGAGTCTTCCATTTGTGGGTTCTGTGGATGGGACTCAGGTCATCACATACGTAGCAAATGCTTTCACCTGCTCAGCCATTCTGCCAGCTCTTTTATTTGACTTTTATTTATTTTTATGTGTATGGGTGCATCCCTGTTACATGGATCCCTGTTACATGGATCTTTGCATCATGTAATGCAGTTTCCATGGAGGCCAGAAGAGAGCACTAGATCCCCTGGAACTTTGTCAGCTGCCTGTCTCATGTGGGTGCTAGGAATGGAATCTGGGTTCTCTAGAAGAGCAGCTAGTGTTCTTAACTACTGAGCCATCTCTGTTCTCCTGTCTACTTTATCTTTTGAGGCAAGCTTTTTCATTTAACCTAGAGTTCACTGATCAAGCTAGGATGGGGAGCTGGCCAGTGACCTGTTTCTGCCTCCTCACCACTAGGGTTATGGACATATGATGCCACACTTTGCTCTTTACGTGTGTGACCGTGATCTGAACTTATGCTTACGCTGGCATAGCCAGCACTTTACCAACTAAATCTTCTTCCCAGCTCAAGTGCGGACCCTTTATGGGAGTATGGCCATGGCTGCTACCTTAGCATTTTATAGCATGTGGCCTGGCTGCGTCCCAGCAGGTGCAGCAGTGGGGAGCAGCATGCAGCAGTAACTACAGGGAGGACAAAAGAGGAGCGTGTAGACCCGGAACCAACTAGCTGAAGGGCTGGGGCTGCAAAAGCCTAGTGCTTTGCAGGGTGTGTCTGCTCCTTGGCCAAGATGATCAGACATTCAAGGAAAGAAGAGCAGGTCATCCTGACCTGTGAGAATCCAGAGCTCAAGAGAAGGCACAAGGGCTGGGAATATGGTGTAGTAGGTAGAGTACTGCCCACACAAGCATGAGGGCTAGAGTTTGCTAAGTGCCACTTCAGGGCAGACCAGATGTGGCAGCTGCCTGTGATCAGTTTGGGAAGCAGGCAGGAGATCCCTGGGTTGAGGTGGCTAACTTAAAGACTACCAGGATCAGTGAGTTCTGGATTTGGGAAGAGACTACCTTAGCAAATTAAGCAGATATTGAGGAGACACCTGACCTCAGCCTGCTTCCAGGTGCACACATGGAGACATGCATGTGGAGTGTGCACATCATCACAAGGTGACGAAGTAGAGATTGAAGAGCTGCCCAGAGCAGATGTCCACTGAACCACAGCAGGCTGGGGTGGCTCTCTGGAGACAAAGGTGTGCAGCAAATGGTGTTTAGCCTTTGCTGTAGAGGGTGCCCAGACCTCAGAGTTGGAAATAAGCCAAAGGCCAAGAGTGACAAGGTTGTCATATTTGAGATATCAGACCGACTTATGGGAAGAGCTGGAGACAGGCAGGGTGGCAACCCTCACTCACAATCTGAGAAAGCAGTCTTGGGAGGAGAGTCTGGGGACTGCCATGGCCCTTGTCCTGAGGGGGCTGCAGAGTCTGGCCTGAATGGGGGCACTGGTGGACATGGCATGCTCTGTTCTGTACTGTTTCAAGGAAACACTTGTAATCTTTATTATCAGACAGGAACTTCTGTCTCCACCTCCTGAGTGCTCACCCTACTTTGTTCTTTAATTGTGTGTTTGTGCATTTGTGTGCTGTGGTGCTTAAAGGAAAACCAGCTCAAAGCAGGAGCTGGTTCTTTTTCCCCACCATATAGATCCAAGGACCAGACTCAGGGTGTCAGGGTCGGCGGCAGGCGCTTTTACCCACTGAGCCATGTGGCTGGCTCAATGGCGAGTTTTATGCAGTTCTAGGGACAGAACTCAGGGGCTTTCTGCACAGTAGAGAAGTTCTGCCCTCTGAGTGATCTCAGGAGAACCTGCAGTGTTTGAATGATACCACCGTCCCTCTCCAGGTGCAGGTACTCACGTATTTCCACCCAAGCGTAGTCTTGCAGTTCTCACAGTAGATGTCGGCCACTGCATGCAGCCCAGTTAGGAGGACTCTCTCCTCAGCGGGGCCGCAGCCCACATTCACCCTGTCAAGACACAGGGTGACTGTGCTGTAGGTCCCCTTGCCCAGTGCCTTTCCCCTCCCTCACATCACTATGTGCACCAGAACCAGACTTTTCCTGATCCACACAGGCTGTTCAGCCCTCCCACCTCCACCTCGTTTCATATGCACCGAGCAAGCGAGCAAGCGCTGTACTTCAGAGCCAAACCCAGCCCACCATGGGAATCGTAGTCAGGCTTGGAGTCTAAACTCTCAGACACAACAATGGTGCTTTCAGAAACACACACACAGGAGCTAGATTCCTCCCAGTTGATCGAGGCATCTGGTGCGGGGCTCAGTTACATATTTAAGCTTTTAATAACTGAGCAGCCAGCGGGACAGAGCCAGACACACGAGTGAGACAGCACGTACTCACACAGAGTTGAAGAGGTAGGCTCGCCCCTGACTTCCCTGAAAGGACTGCAAAGAAGAAAAGGAAGTGTTAGCAGGGGGTCAGGCAAGGACCAGCCAGCTCTTTCTGCATGTTGGAGGAACAGGTGCAGTCAGCCCCACAAGTACAATTCCCGAAGCCATATGGATTGTGCATCTGCTGGCACAATTCCAGGTGATGGTTTTGAATCTAGACGACATCATTACCACTATGCAATTGTCTGCCCTGTAAATTCACAGCAAACCAAAGCTGGGCACTGGGGCCCATGTGCAGCTGAGGAAGGGAAAAGTGCTTGAACTGGGGCTTCAAGATTGGCCTGGATAGCTGTCCATAATCCCAGCACTCAGCGGCAGAAGCAGGAGGAACTCTGTGAGTTCAAGGCTAGCCTGGTCTGAGTCCAGGACAGCCAGGGCTACACAGAGAAATTCTGACTCAAAAACAAACAAACAAAACAACAAAAAACCAACAACATAAATTAAAACTGGCATAGCAGCTGTAACCTCAGTGCTGGGAAGATGGAGACAGTGGGTACCTGGGAGTTGCTGGCCAGCCAGTTGAGGGCTGCACAGTGAGACTATTTTTTAAGGGAGGGCTCTGTGGACCAGAGGGTTCCTTGTTAAGTGACAAATATGGACCTGAGACCGGTGAACTCTCATGGAGGTGGTTCTAGCTTCCAGTGTGCCAGAATCTGCTTCCGTGGTGTGTGCTGCTCAGTTTCACTAAGCCCAGAGCAGGAAGTGCACTCGGGAGAAAGGAGTCTGCTATGGCTGGTTGTTGGATTGTTAGGGCAACTTGCTGAAGGCTTGGGTCACAGCAGTGCTGTTACTGGAGCAAGAAAAGGCACTGGGAGGAAGCCAGGTCACTAAAGGCAAACCTCAGAGGTCACTGGCACAGTCTCTTCCTTTCTGTTCTCTACCAGCTGCCACATGCTCCTACCATGGGGTGGGGGATGGGGGGAGAGACACCGGCCACACATGGAAATCTCTGAAACCATAACACCATAAGTTTTTTCTTTATTGAGCTGACTGTACCTTGTTACTGGAACACAAAACTAAAAGTCACTCTCATCCCCAATACTTGATAGCCTGGCAGTCTATGTATTTTTAAGAATTGTATTTGTGGGGCTGGAGAGATGGCTCAGTGGTTAAGAGCACTGTCTGTTCTTCCAGGGGACCTGGGTTCAATTCCCAGCACCCATGTGGCAGATCACAACTGTCTGTAATGCTTATTCCAAGGGATCTGACACCTTCACACTAATGCACATAAAATAAAGTTAAATAAATAAAAATATTTTAAAAAAAAGAATTGTATTTGTGGCATCTTCCAACATGAAATGTTTATCTGATGCAATGGATAAGCCTCTATCTATCTATCTATCTATCTATCTATCTATCTATCTATCTATCTA